CGATTCGGGAGCACGTGGGCTGGTGTGCTTGAGAGTGTAAGAGCACCAGCGAGTCCAGGAGTACGCTCCGTGCACGCGTGTGATTCAACCACCATGCCTAGGAGTGTGCTCGGGTGCACCTGGGCTCTCGTCCATGCAGGTGAGTGCGCGTGCGTGTGTGTGATAATGAGGACGGGGCCTAGGAGTGGGTTCCAAGAAACGGTGGTTCTGGGAGCTGTGTATCAGAAAGGGGGTGGAGACAGAATTTGAACCCACCTGTCCTCAAAGTCCTTGCTCCTACATTGAAAGGGTTAAAGGACCCACTGTGGGTAAAGGCCCATAGGAATAAGGCTCCATAAATGCAAAGAGCTCAGATCCTTTGTATTTCATTTTCTTTCATTATTATCATCATTTCTACATTACATTACAGTGCTTTAAAATTTCCCAGTGTTTTAGAGACTTCAGGCACGGTGTCCCCTTCCTTCCTATGAAACAGATTTCTTGTTTGAACAAAACTAATAGTGGTTAAGAACAGATTCTGGAGCCAGACTGTTTGCGTCTTGGGTTTGCATCCCAGCTCTTCCGCTTTCTGGCTCTGTGCCTCGAGCCTCAGTTTACTCATCTGTAAAAAGGGGACTATCAGAGGAACCTGCCTCGTAGGTTTATAGGGAGGATTATCATTAGTCTCTATATAGTACATATTACTACATATATCATTACTATATATTCCTATGCATACATATATATGTGTATATCAGAATATAGGTCAGAACATATGTAAGTACTGAGAACAGTGCGTTGGCTCTCTTCAGCACTGCGTTAAAGGAGCCCTGATGTAACTCATGACCTGCAGGGACATCGGGACCTCTAGTTAAATCTGGCCTGGAGAGAATGCAGCGCTGACTGTCTTCTCCTGTTCTTGTTCCGCAGTGAAGCCCCCGGTGAGCTGCCAGCGAGATGGGAGCCCAGAGGAGCAGCAGGAAGCCGCTGGGACCCTGTCTCGGGGCCCCCTGTGTGTTCCTCCTACCGAGCTTCCTCTGCAGGGCTTTGTGACTTTCAGGAGAGGGCCTAGTTTCTGTGTGGTTGGCAGAGCACACTGGCTGTGAAACTTGGCACCCAGTGCTGAGGTTAGAAGAAAAAGCTCACCTGACAGACAACAGACAACCCACACACCTGGGCCCCCAGCTTGATCTTGGTACTTGGAACCCAAGAGCTTTGTTCCGGTCGCCATTTTGAAGAAAGGAACTAAAGCGCTGATTTGTGGGTGGAGATATAAATAATAATAATAATAATATTAATAATAATAATGGCTACATGTATGGAACACTCACCATGTGCCAGGTACCGTGCTGAGTGCTTTACAAACATTATCAGTTGAGTCTTCTTCAGCCAACCAAAACCACATTCTCAGACCCTCCGGTTCAAAACAGTATGTCCTGAGTGGTTTGGACAAAGCATTAAAAATCAAGGCCAGTGCCCCCCTGGAGTGAGACAGGCCTTGACCTCTAGGGAGCTGAGGAGAGGGTGGTTAATTTAGGGTACAGTGAACCTGGCCTTGTCTAGCTTCAGTGATACAAACTGCATTAGCTGAAGCCATGAGAGTCTGGCAGCGCTGGCGTGGAGAGCTGGGACCTCTCTGGGTCCTCTCAGTTCTTTAGTCGAAAGAAGAAGGAAAGCAGCTCTTACTCTCCATTAGAGAGGACTGATGATGCCAGGCTGGTGCCAGGTCCCCCGTGCCCTCTTCCAGACAGGCAGCCACCTCCAGGCCATGGGATGAGCCACACTCTCTAAGCTTTAGCTCCTTATGCTGATGTGAGAGTCCTTGCCGTTCATTGCCCCTAAAAGCCAGCTCTCCCACCTGGCTGCTGGGGAGGGCAGGCCTCTCCGTTTCCTGCTCCCAAAACAGTGCCACCTTTTCTTTCCGAACTCCGTGGCTTTCAGCCCTGCTTCTTGGTTACTAGGAAACTAGATTGGTGACGTCTTTTCTTGTGTTGCTTTTTGACATAACGGAATTAATGTAGGAAACCAAATGCAGAAGTGTGTGTGTGAGTGCAAGAGAAATGGGTACGCACCCCACATCCCCATATGTGTCAATTTGCGTGACCAATAAATTGTGCCTTTCTCACTCAGCTCCCATCTGCGTGGCGTATTTTCCTGACATTCAGCCACAGTCTTGCTTCTAGGCTGTCGGGGGTGCGGAGCAGCAGCCTGGGGAGGGGAAGGTGTCAAGGTTCACGGTAGAGATGGGCCAGCATTGCCCTGACCAAGGGAACTCCACAGAATGAGTTTGAAGCTGGGCATGGACCAGGAACAGCAGGAGACGTCACACATCATCGTGGGACTCCAGGCATCCTGCAGCCACCCAACTTCCACCAGCATCGTCCCATGGCTGCCACCACCACCTGCTGTCCAGCAGACACAGGACACTTATAAGTGTTCATTGCTAAGCTCCAAAGACAATAAATACATGTGAACAATCATCAGGTCATGGGCCTCCAGCTCACCATGTTCAGGGCAGCTTGCGCTGCTCATGGGTCAGGGATCAGCACCCAGCCCAGAAGGCAGGTGTGGGTGCTGCTTGCCCCACCCCTTTACAGGGTGCCTTGGCCTGGGCTGGGCTCCCACTACCTCAAGGTACTTGGCCTCTGGCTCACTGACACCAGACCTGGACTCCGGGCAGGGCTTGAGAGAGTGGTGTTCTTGGCAGCCACAGAGCAAACCATTCACTGTCCTATAACAAAGGCACATGGAGACTGGCGGGGGTGAGGGGGGCTGAAATCCCACTGCAACCGAGGCTCTTCATCCACCCGGATGGGGTCCCCTCGCCCTGTAGGCTCACTTCCTAGTCTGCTCGTGGAACCTGACCGGAGTCCCCAGGACACCTCCCTTCTGACTCCGTAGACCAAGGACCAGGGTGAAAGGACAGCTGGAGACAACCAGACATCCTCTCCATCGCTCCTACATCCACAGCCCACAGCTGAGGACCTGAGCGCCGATGCCCGCGGCACCTGGGAGTCCACTGCTGCCAGGGTGCTGGCGTGCCGCGAGGTGCCTGCAGCTCCCACCCAGCCTGGAATGGACATCCAGGCCCCCCCCCCATTTCTGAGGGGTCCTGGGAGAAGTGAGTCCAGGAGCAACAGTGGTCTGAGTTCTGGCACTTGAGTAAGCACAGTGCCCCCTACCCACCCTCTCCAAGCTCCAACACAAGCCGTGTCAGCACAACCGGGTTTTGACTGTAAGTTGATGGACAACAGGGCCCACTGTGATGCCTGGAACTGGAAACTGTGAAATTTAAGACTTTTTATCCTTGTCCTTTCCACTGCTCAGCCTTGCACCCACCCCTCCAGTTCCCTGACCACCTTCTCCCCAGGTTCTGGTCTACCATCATCTCTTAGGGCCCACTTTCTTGGGGGCAGATTTCTCTGCCATCTCTCCTTTGCTCCCAGTCCTAGGCCTCCCAAACACCTGATTCCTCCTCCCGCAGCAGGATGAGAGGGGAACCCAGAAATTCCCACCTCTATCACCTAAGTAATTTACCTCTATTTTATTTCAGCCATTCTTCACCAAGCTCCCTAACCAAGGAGGCGGATTAACTAACAAGCTTTCCTCACAAAAGTGTCTCCTACCCCTACGGCGAATCCTATTGTTCCCCGAGGTTGCAGAAGCTGCTGTAGTCACTTTTTTTAAGAAGCAAGATTTTTTCCTTCTTTGCATGATTAGACGAAAGCTGGTTGAAAACAGCAGATTTTATGCCAACAGGAAGGTGGCGTTAGCCTAATGGACTTTCTCTAACAGCAGCCTGCATCCAGCATCTCCACCCCCGGGGCGGCTGCTGCAGCTCCGAGCCTTCAGCCCAGGGTCCAGGTTCAGGGTCAGCCGGGCGGCGCCTCCTCCTTCCTGGGCTGTGGTTCTTTTCCATGCCATTTTTTCCACCTGATAGGAGGGAAATTAGTGAGTCATTCAGAAAAGTTCTCTCCTACAGCTACCTTCCCTACCCCAGCCTACAGGGTCTCTCTTCACACGTCCTTAAAATAGCTTCTTTCTCTGGCAAACTAATTTCCATGGAGATCTAGCAATCTGAAGGCCTAGAAGCTTTCTACAAGGCAGCAAGCCCAGCTCCCAGCCTTCACTCCAACAGAAAGACACCCTTTGTAATGCAAATGTCTGGTCTCACCCCCACAGACACCCCCACCCACAGCCCAAGCGCGATGCTCCCCCTCCCGCAACCAAGTTCCTTTCTGGGAAACCTGCACTGTGCAGGGAACAGCACTGGCAGGTAGAGTCTGGGCAGGGACAGACTCCTTTCTGGTCTGTGCTGCTCAGTTCTCTCTCAGGTCACAGCACCAAACTGCTGGGCTGGGCTGGGAGTGGTTTTACACCAGGTGTGTACAGGTGGCCGTCCTTCCTTCCCTCAGCCACAGACATGTTGTTGGCGTGTCCTGGGCCTTAGGGGTCAGCACGTTCATCAAGGGAGACCACGGCAGGGAGGGTTGGTATGTCTTGGGCTGTGGAGTCGAAAGGAATGGGGTTTAAATAGCTTGTCTTTCATTTCCAGAAAGTGAGATCTTGTACAGGCCCTTAGCTTTTCTAAGCCTCAGTTTCCTCATCTATGGAATGGGGAGAGAGGAGCCTTCTGCTCGGTGTGGTCGAACGGATTCGAGGAGCTGGCGTCTGCAGAGACCCAGCACCTGGCCCATTGTAGGTGTTCGGTGACCGTTAGTCCCCTCCCTCTTCCTGGGAGACAAGACAGTGCGGGGGTCCTCCACGAGGGAGCAGGGGAAAAAAGTCCAGGCAGCCATGAGAGGAGCATCTGAACTGCACCTTCAGGGACTGCAGGAATGTCCTGGAAGAAGGTGGATAAGGCCTCCCTCATGTAGGCAAGAGCATGACCAACAAACAAGGCGGGAAGCCCAGGGGCAGAGCGAGACCGGGAAATCCTTGAAGAAGGGCGTTTTGAGGCAGAATGGGCTAGCTGAGGCCAGGGGGACTAGCTGAGGTCAGAGGAGGGTGGTTGAGGTTAGGAGGGGCTGGTTGAAGCCAGGGGGACTCACTGGGTGGCTTTAGCTACAAAGACAGAGCTGCTCTGATGACCTGAGCCCATGAGAGCCAACCTGGGGACATGTAGGAAGTCCGGGAGCTGGTACTGGGCCGTACTCCAGGGCAGGGCTGGCCGGTGCTGCTGGCCACTCGGGACATGTTGGCAGTGATCCCAGTCACCACACAGCAGCTCCATGCCCCGTACAGTCCTGGGCCGGCCTGTCCTGGGTGAGACTCAGCTCCGGCCCGTCTGTTTCTCCCTCTGTTGACTTCTTCCTACTTCCCTAACCAAGTAAATGACTCACAACCCACCCTCCATCCTGCAGGGACTCAAGTGCAGTGACATGCTGCTGCTCATGCATTTAGGAAAGTCCAGGCAAGGGAGGCACCCAGTGCAAAAGGTAAGAGGCGCTGAGTCTCGGGTGCCCACCTGAACTGGCGCCACCTGAAATTTAGTGCCCCGGTGCCTCATTTGTCTCAGCCCAGCCCCGGCCTGCAGAGCAGGTGGAGGAGGGAGCACGGGATGCCGGGAGGAGAGGTATTACCCTGAGTGACAGGCAGCGACACGCTGACCTGCAGCTCTGGCAAGGCCGCTGAGAAGGAGCAGGAAGCGGCAGAGGGGCAGACGGGAGAGGCCATCCTCTGCCTTCCGTGGAGTTGTGTTTGAGTGCATGGGATGTGAACTGAATTTTCATACCTGATTTTGAGTATATCCCCAGAAATGGTTGGTCTGGCTTCAGTTATTTTAGAGGCGCGTTCAGCATAGGCAGTGGTGAAGAGCACAGACCCTGGATCCGGGCTGCCTAAATGTGCCCTAGTGGGCCAGGCTCCGGGCCAGGCCCTGGGAACCCGTGAGGGGTGAGGCAACCGCCCGGGCTTCCGGGAGAGGCGGGCGCACAGCCCCGCGGTGATACTGCCTCGGGTGCGGACAAAGGGTGTGCGGGCTAGAGACCAGGCGGTGGTTTCCTCCAGGGGTTGCTGGGAAAATGTTCTATGATTAGCATTTAGAACGGTCGTCACCGTGGAGGTGAGGATCTTGGACTTGGGGTCAGCCTGCTTGGGTTTGGCCCCCAGCCCCACCGTGCGACCTCACCTGAGTACTTAACCTGGCATCCTTTCTCCATCCGGACAAAGGAGCGAATAGTGACCGCGTGGGCTCCGGGCAAGGACAGACCTACCAGCGAGAAAGAGCCCTGGCCGCACGCCCGTCCTCCGCAAACATCAGGTGCCGTCAGTGTGACAGTCTGACGGCGCCACGCCATTCTTCACGTTTCACGCCTCAGCCTCGGCTGCTACAAGGGTCACTTATGTCAAAGCGGCTCTGAGCACCTCAGAACCCCTTCTCCGAGGTGACTCTTTCGCTTCTGGCTTGTCCTTTCCAAGCCAGGTTGTGGCTCCAGATCTGACAAACTGCACGGCATTGGGCAGGTCACTTCCACGGGCCGCCCCATGGCACTGGGGACAGGAGAGCCAATGCCTGGGTCTGCCAGGCATGGCCCAGGCCACCAAGCCCGGCCCCGGCTCCTGCGTCAGGTGCCAACGAGGCTCCACCAACACCAGTCTCCTCGCTCTTTCCTCTGGCCCTCCTCTGTGTATTCCAACCCGTCCCCGGGAATCCATCCTGTCCAGCCGTAGGTGGACTAGAACAAAGCAGCAGCAGGCCTGGCAAAATGAGCCTCCATCTGCAGGTTGACTGCTGGAGGAACTAACTCACCGGGAGGTGAAAATACAGGAAAAGGCTGCCCACCAGAGGGCCAGGGGCTCAGCCTTGGCACTGTGAGCATTTGGGGCCGAATTATTCTTTGTGGGGGGCTGTCTGTGCATCACAGGACATTTAGCAGCATCCCCAGCCTCTGTCCACTGGACTCCAATATACAACACCCCTTGCCCCAGACGGTGCCCGTGGTCCCTGGGAGATGGGATGGGGCACAATCACCCCCGAAAGTGAAGAACTGATGTCCTGCACTCCTCTGAGACACTCATTTTTGAAGACAAGGACACTAATTCTGGCCCCTAACAACAGCTACTAAAAGCAGGAAACCAGGAGCCAGGAGGCATGTCCCACAAATTTATAGAAATACCACCAGGCCGGTTGGCTCCTTCTGTTTCAAGGGACAAAGATGTGGAAGTCACTTCAGGGGATAGGGTCTGTCACCAGGTACACGGGAAGTGAGGACGTTGCACAGCCCTCCCTCGGGGGAGTGGGGTCAGCAGTCCCTCAAGGTGCAGGGGCCCCTTGAGCCCAGGCTCAGCCTTGGGGCTCCTGTCTCGTGAGCCCATCGGAAGCCAGCATTTCTCCCTCCCTCCCTGATTGATCAGCCACCTTCATCACTCTGCTGCTTTTGGCCTCTACTTGGTCTGCAGTCCTGGCCCTCACTTGGTATATCTGACATTTAAAACTTTCAAGGAGGCCGATTTGGGGTCAGCTAACCTCCATTAGCTGCCTTATGGGTTTGGGTTCCCCAGAAACAGACTCTGAGACAAAGCTTCAAGTGCAAGGAAAGTACTTGGGAGTAACTCCAGGAAACACTAGTAAGGGAGTAGGGAATCGAGGCCAGAAAGGGAAGGAAGCCAGTAAAAGATGCTTGAGGAGCAGGTAGCCACCATGGCCAAGTAGAGCTTCATCTGTGGGCACGTCTGTTGATCCCATCCAAAGAGGAGAGAGCTGGGTGCCTACACACCTGCTCACGTGAGGGCTGTCTCTAGGCGGTGTTAGCTTCTCAGCAGATAATGCAGTCTATACAGCAAAGCCAGCTCTGTGGTCAGAGAGCGCTCTCAGGCCAGAAGAGCCACACGTGGGAGGTGGGGCTGTCGGGCATGATGAGGTGGGTGGGGCAGCAACATGTCTGCTCTGCAACCTGGTAGGCTCAGTGCTGCCCGACAGAGTTCTAGCCCCACGCCAGCCCGCCAGCGCTGGCCTCTCCTCTGTCTCTGTGCCTTTGGGCTGAGATTCCTGAGTGCTCCGAGAGACATCTCTCAAGAGATACCCAGTGTAAGGATGTTCCAAACAGTACAGAGAGAGACTGAACGTACACACTGACAATGGCCAGACCATATATAAAAATAGAGGTCTGATCCACAACC